TTAGCCCGAAGAAGGTTGGAAGATGGATTCTTCCCCACAGCTTCAAGATAAGAATCCAGCCCAACTAGCACCTTGATTTCAGCCTTGTGAGACCCTGAGTAGAGAATACAGTTAAACCCACCTGGACTACTGACTTTGAAAACTGTTTTTGTTTGTTTTCCAGCCTTTTGTTTTTTGTTTTCTGTATTTTTTTGAGGGGGGGGCAGTTACCAGGGATTGAACTCAGGGACACTCAGCCACTAAGCCACATCCCCAGCCCTATTTTGTATTTTATTTAGAGATAGGGTCTCACTGAGTTGCTGCTTAGTGCCTCACTTTTGCTGATGCTGGCTTTGAATTTTTGATCCTCCTGCCTCAGTCTCCAGAGCTGCTGGGAATACAGGCATGTACCACCATGCCTGGCTATATTTTATTTTTTTGAGACAGATCTTATTAAGTTATTTAGGGCCTCGATAAGTTGCTAGGGCTAGCCTGGAACTTGCAATCCTCGTGCCTCAGCCTCCCAAATCCATAAGACTACAGACATGCACCACTGTGCCCTGTTAGAGAACTGTTTTTACTGGAATCAAATGTTCAGAACTCAGGAAGATAGGTATTGGGAAAAAATCAGGAAAATAGTGGGAAGGAATCAGTTTATTTAAGGCCAGCCCTGAAGGTGATAGAGGAGCTGGCTCCTCAAGCTCTAGCTTCCCAAGCTCTGGACTCAGGGTTTTTGTGGGGATTAAGAGGAGAGTGAGGCTGCAGGCTGGGAGCAGTCTTGGTGAGGGTGTATCTTCTCCAACACATCACAATGGATTTGGTGCTGTTTACCAAAGCAGTGTCTTACAAACGCCAACGGGGATTTGTGAATAATCTAAGGGATTAAAGAATTAGTGTTAATTTCTAAGTGGAACTTCTGCTAAAGGATTAGGGAAGGACAAAAGGAAAAAAGGGAACCAAGAAAAATCTCACCGGCCCCTGGTTAACACAATGAGATCATGAATGTTTCAAGCTGCTGAGTTTGTGGTAACTTGTTATGCAGCAATAGAAAACTAATACTGCTGAGGGCCATTACCAAGTAGGAATGACGCATCGAAATTTCCTTGCCAAGCGTACCCCATGCTGCTTAGAGGACATTCGATGGGACATTGCATGCATGCTTTAATAAGGTGACCTTGCTCAAGGACCAAGGCGGATCCGGGTTTAGAGCTGATCAGGTTTGAGGAAGTAACCGGATCCTTGAGTTTAAGGCGTTGCTAGTTTAAGATAATGGGTTTTAGGGAAGTTGGAAGTTGAAGATTATTGCTGGGATTAGGGTGTTCCTGCTGCTTGTTCCCGTTGAGTTCTCGTGAGATTAAAATGGGATTTGGAGATAGCCTCGTGGGGTAGGTGAATTGGGCTGGCAGACGGCAGAACGCGATTGTCCCTGGACCTGTGTGGAGGCGGTGTGAGAACGGGAATAAAGAATTGCTGTTTGAACCTACAAAGCTGTGTGGTGGCTCGTGATTCTGGTGCCAAGCCGAGACCTTGGCATAATACAGTGGTTTAACTTAACTTTCTATCAAGTTTACCCATTGTTGGGTAACCCTTCCTTTTAGTAGCTAATAGACACTTAGTAAAGACGTACTTTGAATTAAGCAAATACTCTCTTGCTCATCAACTATTTACTAGTTTAAACATCCATTAATCTTTCTTGAATAAATTGTGATTGCCAAAATGATGGATTTCTAATTCCATTAATTTTTCTAGATTTATTAATTGATTGTATACTTGGGCAAAAGTTTTCTGTTTTCCTTATGTATTTATTCATTTTAATGTGGTCTCATGAATTCCTGTTTCAGTCAGTGGGCTATTATCCACTAATGTCATTCATTTTTATGCTCTAATTCACTAATTGAGCAGGACTGCATCATTTATTGAGCACTCCCTCACTTTCTGGTAGAAAAAGCTTACTCAAGGTCATCTTTTCCTGATTTGCTTCTGTAAAAGCTATTTCTCCAAGTAAACTTAGTTTCTTTTTAATGGAGAATGTACACATAAATCTAAAGTTACATGAATCTTTTTTTTTTTCTTTTGGCAGTAATGGGGATTGAACCTTGGGACCTCCTACCACTGAGCTATTCCCCTAGCCTTTTTAAAAATTTGAGACGGGGTCACCCTGACTTGCCCAGGCTGGCCTCAAATTTTCTATCCTCCTGCCTCAGACTTCAAAGTCACTGCAGTTATAGGCATGCACCATTATTCCCAGTAAACATGCACTACTTTGGGCTCATTAATGAGTAAAGATGTACCAAAAGGAAAAGGAAATATATTCTGCCCTATATTTCCCTTTCTTCTGCAAACCATTTAACTATCAGTTTAAATGGTTAACTCATAAACATAAGTAACACAAGTAAGGGTTATCTCATGAACAAAGTAACACAATTAAGCCAGACCCACCAGTGATCTCCATAGTTTAAAGTTAACTGATTAGGATATTTATTACAAATGCAAACTCCCACTTTTTTATAATTATTTAATAATTTCACATAATTGTGTGAGTACAATTCTTATCATATTCACAGATTCTGTGTACACTCAAGGGAAGGAGGGATGAGGCTATTGAGGTTATTAGATTTCTGCTTATGATGGGATAGAGAAGGGCTAGGGATCCCGTGAAGGCTACATGGCCCACTGGGCTTGGCTATAAAAAGTAAAATATCTGTGTCAAATGGATAAAGTCCCAGTATACTCCTCCAGGCTTATCAAGCAATTTGGGTTCTTTCATGGGGGCAACAAATGTCAATTGTGTGACTAAACTGCATGGAGCACAAATTCCATGCCAAAGTACAAGGAGCGCAGATGCAAGGTCATGGTGATGGGGAAACTGCCAACACTGTAGATACAACTAAACACACTTCACATTGAATACAACACTTGAATCCAGGGAGCCAAAAGGAATACAGAAACAAATAGACTACTGAGAAAAGTGGGACCTAATTACGTTTCAGATAATATCAAGAAATATTATGTTAGCTACTTGGATAATAAATTAAAAAATCAAGTTCTAATTTTTAAAATGTGCATAAAGCTGGGCACAATGGCACACACCTGTAATCCCAGCAACTCAAGAGACCGAGGCAAGAGGATCATAAGTTCAAGGCCAGCCTTAGCAACTTAATGAGACCCTCAGCAACTTAGTGAGATCCCGTCTCCTAAGAAAAACAGACAAACTGGGGATGTAGCTTAGTGGTAAAGTGCTCGTGGGTACAATCTCCAGTACCAACAACAACAACAACAACAAATAGAACTATCACTGGACTCTGGTTTTAAATTGCTTCATATATATAATGTTCACACATCTTTATATACCTCCAAATAATCTCATGAATTATTTGTGGGGTTGTGTGCATAAATAATAATGTGTAAAAATGAGGATGAAAAAATGCATCAGTTAAGGGTCCAGCCAGGACAGGAACTGCACTAATTTTAATTTTTTTTTTTATAGTACTAGGGATGAAACCAGTGCCTCACACATGCTAGGCAAGCACTCTATCACTGACCTACACCCCAGTCCAACACTGATTTTTGAACATTGGATATTAATTCAAATTGTCTGCACAAGTGAGGGAAGAACTGGGATGAGAGAGAGGATGAGTTAGCAATAGCAGGAAAAGACACTGCCCCTAGGGATAGAAGGAAGCAGTGTTTCCTAATCTCTGAAGCTGTGTCATGCGGTAGGAGATAGAATCATGGTGGAGGCTGCCAGGCATAGGACCACAAGAAAAATAGAGGAAATCTGACTTCTAATGGAGAGACCTCTCAAAGAGAAAACATTGGGCTTTTCCCTTCCCCCAGCCCTCTAATCTCCTAACAGTACACCCCATTTAAGCAATCCCAGAGGAAACCATCTGACTAGAAAGTCTGGAAATCCAGGTGTTGACCTCCTCTCTCCACCATCCTGCAGAACGCAAGAAGGTAAGATTAGGAAGTTGATCTGTAAGTAAGTAGGCACAGAACCAACAGAGGATGAGGTGACTTGGGAATCTGAGGATGGACATTAATTCTGGGGAGTCAAGGAAATGAGAAGAGAAGTGGTCCTCAACTTTATTAGTAACCACTTATTTCTTTATGCTTTCTTTTCATTTTTAAGCTAGAGGCTTGATTCAGTAGTATAGCACTTGCTTAGCATGCATGAGGCCCTGGGTTTGGTCCCCAAAGTCTCAAAAAAAATTTTTTTTTAATTTGAAGTAAGTCAGATGCTCACTATGTTATCTTCGGGACATTCTATATAACTGGAATATTTCATAAGTGTTGAGAGCCACAGCCGAAGGGGCCCCAGCAAACTTCCAGCTGCCAGCAAACTTCTAGCTGCCAACTGATTGGCTCCTCTGCGGTGATGCTCATTAGGCTGTTTCTTCGCCCTTTCAGACCATGGAGCTGCTCATTGGGGGACTTTTTTTGGCTCTGCCCACGCGACCCAGCCAATCAGCCTCAAGAACAGGAGGAGTGGGGGAGGTTGAGAGGCTTGTGGGAAGCCGGTGATGGCAGTTGGGCTCAGAAGGTTTTTCCTGAGGAGCTGTGTGGTTTGGTGTGTGTGTTCTAAAAATAAAGTTTGTTTCTTTTGACAAGTGGCTCCTGAATTGTGCCTAGCTAGACTGCGGCACATAAGGAAAAATACTATAGAACCAGGCCTAGCAGCACATGCCTGAAATCCTAGGGACTTAGGAGGCTGAAGCAGGAGGAATGCAAGTTTGAGGTCAGCCTTGGCAACTTAGACTCAGTCTCAAAACAAAAAGGGCTGGAGATATAGCTCTTTGGTAGAGTGCCCCCTGAGTTCAATCCCCTGTGCTAGGGGTAAAAAGGAAACTTGGTTCAGCCACTTACTACCCGGGTTGCCTTGAGCAGGTTCCCAGACCTCCCTGAGCCTCCATTTCCTCTTCTGAAAAACCAGAATAATGAAAGTTGAATTCAGTGAGCTCACAGAGAGGAAAAGCACTTCAAGGTGTATGGGTGCACAGTGAACTTTCAGTACACGTTGATTACTTTCATTATTTTTTTTCATTATTTTTATTTTTGCATCCTCAATGGTAGCAGAGACCCTGTTGTTTAACAAACATTTGTTCAGATCAAATAAGTGGAAGAAATAGTCATTTGCTCATCTGAGTCATACTTCCCTGTGATAAGTCTTTCCTTGGTTCAACATATGGATCTAAATAAAACCTTGCTTAGGGGGAGGGAGGAAGAGAAGGAAAGACAGTTCTGGGAAGGAGATTGAGCAACGAATGTTGCGTGCAGGGACCATTATGTACAATTATAAGGCACTAATAATTTTTTTCTAATTTTGCCTAGATTCTGACAAGATCAAGCACAATATAATTTCATATAAATTTAGTTAAAATGGGCCTCAGGGAGAGCAAATTCCACTTCAGTGAAGAGAAAGAATCCACCAGGTGTCTCATCAGGAGATTCAGCTTCAGTAATCGGCATTGTAGGGGTAGTCCGGCAAATTAGCCTGGCTGCAGAAACAAGCAGAGAGAATATGTTCCACAAAAGCAGCAACTGTGGTCTAACAATCCAGTCTTCTCTGATGCTCCCTCAGCCACCTTCCCCCAAGCAGGGAGCTCATACCTTGACCTTCCTTCAAATCAGTGGGAGAGGTATTTAAGAAAAGCAGGCAGGCAAGTAAGTAGGTGACCAGGGCACCAGAATGAAATCATAATTCAATGGCTTCCACCAGGCCTGCCCCTTACAAGTGTTGTCAATTCATTCTCACAACACTGAGAGTTGGGAATAACAGTGGAATTGATGCTTGACTTAACAACACAGGTAAAGGACTTAGGATCCCCGGTACATTCTGAGCCAACATTCCATAGATGTTTGCTGTAATTACTACTACCCTCTGTATTTTGTAGATACAGAAGCCAACTTGATGAAGCTACCACACAGCTGGTAAGTAAATAGTGGGGCTGGGAGGAGAAGCCAGGTAGGTTTACTCCTGAATCCTCCAGTCCAACTCTGTATTTGACATTCCCTCTTAGATGTCTAATGGCATCATAAACGTGTTAAGTCAAATCCTGCCAGCCCTTGGTTCAAAATCCTCCAATGGTTTCTCAGCTCAGAGCTAAAATGAAAGTCCCTCTCATGGTTTATGCCCTCTGTGTCTGCTCTGAGCCTGGACACCTCTCTCCAGCCTCATCCCTCCTACTCTTCCTGTCATCCATTCCACTCCAGCCTCACTGCCCTCTCTATTCAAATGCTCCAAACACATTCTCACCTCAAGGCCCTTGAAATTGCTGCTTTCACTGCCCAAAACGCTCTTCTTCCCAAAATCCACATGGCTTATTTTTTACTTTCTTCAGGTTTCTGCTCAACTGTCATTTTATCAGCAAAACCTTCCCTCACCTACTCAATATTAAGTACCAACCTCCCCAGGACCCACCTCTTCCTATACCCCTTTACCCTTCTTTATTTTCCAGTACAGTTTGTTACTATCTGACATATATATTGAGTTTCTTTTGTTCTCCCTAACTAGAATTTAAGACTGTGGCAGCAGGAACTTCGTACAAAGTGTGATCTCCCAAACACCTAGAAAATGTAGATGACCAGTAAACTGCTGAGTGAATGAATGAATGGAAACTTCTGCCTCCTACAGAGCAATGACACCTCTTCTCTTGAAATTCTAGCTCTACATTCAGAAGTTCAGACAATGAGCAGCAATTAGAAATATGTCTTTCCAGAATGATTCCCCAGGACTCCAACAGGGGTACTCAAAAACAACAAGAAAATAGTATTAAAAGACAAATATAGATGCGGCTGCCTTCCTATGTTTCCAGCTAATCCTCTACCTCTTCAAAACAAACAACAACAAACAAAACCCCATGATCTTTCTTATTAACCCACTGACACTTACTCAGCCAGGAGACAGATCCTAAAGTTTCTGTTGAAGCTGAGTAAGGTCGCCATCTCTTCATCACTCAATTTGAAGTCAAAGACCTGGAAAGGAAAGAATTCCAAAACATCCTTGGCAAGACAATTCCTGGGATTTGAGATCTCCAGTTATTTTAGCAGGGAGTAAGCTCATATCTGTAGCACAAACTGGCCACAGGAGTCCAGATGTCCTTTGTATGTCAAGTGGATATAAATTTTTCTCTAAATTGGGCCCCACACAAAGACTGTGGTATTTAGCTAGATGTGGTGGTACGTGCCATAACTTCTAGCTACTTGGGAGACTGAGACAGGAGGAAACCAAGTTTAAGGTCAGCCTGGGCAATTTAGCAAGACCCCCCTCTTAAAAAAGTGAGGGAGGCTGGGGATATAGCTCAGTGATAAAGTGTCCTTGGCTTAGATCCCCAATCTCTTTTTCTGCCCCACAACCATTTCTCCCTTCCCCCCCAGACTCTGCAGTATTTATAGGGTGTAATGTGCCCAAAGGAGGGATAGCAGACTTGTAGGTATTAAACCTCAGTTTATACGGCATCCTGTTCACATAGGTTCTTCTAGAAGGACAGTTCTTCAAGTACAGTCCATCTCTCGTCTGCTGCTAGGTGGTCTCTCGGGTGGCCCATGACCTGACTGCTCAAGGGCATCTAGGAACCTTCTCAGTGGGCTCAGATCTGACAGGGCTTCTCCTGTCACTGCCCTAGCACATCCTGTGACCATTTCTCTCAGCTCTGAGGCCAGATTCCTGACCTAAGAGTGGAGAAGATGGCGGGAGCCACTAATACAAAGGGATGAGATGAAAAACCTGGAGAGAGAGTCCCCCTTGCCGCCCCCTCCACTGGGGAATAGCAGATGATCAGGTAGGATCTCACCTGAAAGTTCTCGAGAATACGTTCTGGAGTCACAGACTTGGGGATCACTACCACATTCCTCTGGATATGGAACCGGATCAGAACCTGTGAAGAAAGAGGACTTCATATTTCTACTTGTCCACAAGGACCCCCCTCTCCCAGAAAAAGGAAAAATAAAATATCTCTGTAGCTCACTGAGGCTTTAGCTACAACAGTGAATGTTGGACCAAGTGCTTAACTATTAGAGACACTGGCCACTTCTCCCCTTCCCTCCCTAACTAGCAGGTTATGGGAAAACCCTACGGTTTTCCTTGTTTAGAAATGAAGGTGCCCTTAGAGGTCATAAGGCTGAGATGTGGTACAGACGGCATATGAACCCAAAACCATTCTCTGTGGTTCATCTAGACAACTTGGTAGGAAGCCAATAGACAGAGGCCACACTTGTGTTAGAGTTTGGACCTGGAATACCCCCAAAGGCTCATGGATTGAAGGCTTGGTCCCCAAGTGTGGCACTATTTGGAGGTGGTGGAAACTTCAGAGAGCTGTGAACCTAGTTGGAAGAGGTAGGTCACTGGCCTTTGTTTGAAGGGTCTCTCTCTCTCTCTTTCTCTCCCTCTCTCTCACTCCCTCTCATTCTCCCCGCACCTATGATGTAAGCACCTTTGCTCCACCACACCTGGCCCATACATGGCTCACCAAGGCCCAAAGTGATGAGGCCGAATGACCACAGACTGAAATATTGAAACCCTGAGCCAAAATAAATCTTTTCTCCTTTCCGTTGATTTTCTCAACAACAGAAAGCTGACTAACAAACCTTGTTTCACTGACACCCACTGTATTTCCTGGGGGTCCTAACAAGACTTCCAAGAAGGCACATGAGTGTGCTTCACTTCCTGTTTCCCTCCCCTCTAATGAGTCAAATGAAGACAATACAAGGAATAAAACAGAAGACTGTAGAATGAATGGATTGCTGGAGAAAGAGAAAAAGCAAAAACCCCACGTTGTACCTGGGCCGGGGATTTTTTGTGCCTGGCAGCAATCTCCTTGATCTTAGGGTCCTCCAATAGTGAAGGGTCTTCTGGTTTAGCCCTAGAGGCAGAAAGTTAGCTGTTATGAATAGTCACCATGGTTACCAAATGCATAAGCAATGTCAATCTCGAGGCTGGGCATCAGAGCCTTCTCCATTTGGGACACCAACAGGAGAAACCCAGAAGCTCTGTGTCTTTCCCATGAGCCAGTCCATCCACGGGCTCTGGAGCCTCAGCATTTCACCAAGGCTGGTCTAGCACTGGAGTATTCTCAGAGGGTCAGAAGTGTTGCACTTTCTTTTTAAACTCCCATTCTTTCCCACCATAATCCCATTTGGAGGGGTTAAGCACATTGCCTTAGACACATTTTTCTTTCTGGTGACTTACAGATTCATACGAAACTCAACCAGTTATAAAATAATATTTTTAAGAGTACTAAGACAAAGACCCACCCCTCAGAAGCCTCACCAAGGTCTATCTGGAGAGCCCAGGGGGCTGTAGGCTGTGACAGTGATGCCCTTAGAATGGCAATATTGGATCAGTTTCTCCTGGGTGAGGTATGGGTGGCACTCGACCTG